ATATAATATACTATTGATGGCTAAAAAACCTATCAACCACCTTTAAAGAAAACACAAATCAGAGTATGTGATAAATATAATTTGTAGCACCTTAGACTTTTTCAACATGTGATTACCACTTCTTATAAAACTTATTTTTAAAAGAAAGAGATGAAGGAGAAGAGAGAGAGGGGAGGAGGAGAGAAGGTGGAAGAAAAAATAATGTCACAAATATTTATATTTACTTAGATTAAAGGAATTAAATAAAAGTATATAGAAATAAATAAATTTGATAATATTTTTTAGAAAAGCTTCTTAGAAGCTTTAGATATGCATATTTGACTTTGTAGATGTTTTCAAATGATTTATAGGTTGAAAACTTGGCCAAAAAGTTCGTAATGTAATGTATATATTGGTGTTATTAAAACATATATGATTGCTACATAAAAATACCACATTAATAAGATTTGGTATAATATTTTAAAAAAAAAAATTAAAGTTAATTAATTAATTTTTTTAAGTATATATATATATATATATATATATTTATATATAAAGTTTTCATTCTTTCTAATATTTGAGCAAATATAAGAATTTTAAGTTGCAATAATTATATTTATTTAAAAAATAATAATTTTAAAATTGACCATATATTTTGATGAATTTATTTAAAACTTTCAAAAACCATACAATTTCTTAAAAATTAATAGAAAAATGAGTAATCAATAGTAAAATAAATTTATATATCAATAATTATGTGTATAAAAAAATTAACCTCAAATATAAAATAAAATTAATAGATGAGTATAAAAAAAAATTATATGGTATAGTAAGAATTTAGTGCTAGTCATTCAATTTATAATTACAATCACAATTAAAATTAGGAATGCTTTTAAATTTAAATTAGTAATGCTTTTAAATTTAAATTAGTAATGCTTTTAAGTTAAAATTTAGTAATAATAAGTATAGAAATTAAATTTTTAAAACCTTTATTTATTTTTTTAACCTACCACATATTAGTATCAACTTAGATTAAATTTCTACTTATTTTATAAAGTTCAAATGAAATATATTAGATACAACAAATATCTTTTTTTTGTAAATAAAAAAGAAAATTATATATGTGTATATATATATATATATATATATATATGCCTAATCATTCTAATAGCTCCAAAAAAAATTGAGGCTTTTGTGGGATATTCACTTATAATCAGTAAAAATTAATATTCATCTATAAAGATATTTTGTTTTATCTTTTCCCACTATCAAAATATTTTTGGTTGTATTTCATTAATTATTTTTTTTATAACATATGATATCACTCTTTATATTAGAAAATTTAGTATTTTAATATAAAGAAAAAAAAATATCTAATATTTTTTAATTTTTTTTTAAAGTCAAAGCCGAAATTCGTATTCAAGCTAGAATTAATTTCTTCTATTTTGTTAGATAATGCTTTTAAATTGAAATAAGTTATATGAAATTCAATTCTTGTAAATTGACTTTACTATTTAAATTTACTTGATTATCAATATCATAAGATTTATTATTATTTGCTAAAAATTCATAAGATTTAATAAAATTTAAAATATGAGACATTTAAATCCTATGAAATCATGTCCAAGATCAAGACTAGAATCAGATCTTAATTCATTTCCAAATTCAAATCTATTCTAAGTCTAGGTCCCAGTTTAAAAAAAATATTTGTGTTTATGTATAAATATATATATATATATATATATATATATAAATTTTGAATAAATAAAAAACTTTCACATAGAAAAATAATGTGGAGCATTTATTTTTATGAGAGTTTTTAGGTAGAAAATTAATAGATAGATAGTTTTTTTAATCTAAAGAATGTTTTTTAAAATTATAAATAATAAATGAAAAAGTTTATAAAATGTACTCGACAATGGTCAGAATATAAGATCTCCAATGTAATAAATTAAATAAAAAAAGTGATTTTTTCATACTTTGAATTTTAAAGAAACCCATTTAGAATTAGGACTTTTTAAACCACCACAGAAACTTTAAAAAATAAAATAAAAGAAGGATAGAAAAAGTGGAAGAAACGAATAGAAAAAAGAAAAGTCAAACTCTGGAAAAAAAAAAAAAAAAAAAAAAAAAAAAAAAAAAGTGGGAATATGGCGTGCAAAATGAGCCTGATTCTGCACAATATCTATCATTTTTCTAGAACATCATTATATTCTTTTTTCTTCCCATCATGGATAAACAAGACAAGAATCCTGTTAAGATGTTTGACGGTACTCAAATTTCAGTATGGAAGTACTATATGGAAATAGTTTTCAAAGCGAAAAAGATTCTTCAAGCGATTCATGGCATTGAAAAACGACATGTGATTCAATTATCTCATCCTACGCCTGATGAACAATTTGCTATCGACACATGGGACGAAAAGACTGCTAATGCGAGGATGTTTATTACCAGTCGATTTTTCTAAAGGTTCTTGATAAGCCAACCAAATGTTTGATAACTGCCTTGATGTGACAAAAGTTATACTCATTATATCTCAAGAAAACTCTCGAGAGTATATTAATGTTATAGGGCAAGTTCTTTGACTACAAAATGCAGCTTAACAACAATATCTCCACTCACATCTAAAACATCACCGACAATGACGATGATTCTGGCTGATCTTGGCCACATAGCCCCTGATAAAATGATTATTTTGAAAATCATCTACTCTATTGAGCTTACCACTGATTCAGAACAAATGTCTTATGTTTCTTTTCCAGTCTCCACTAATGATGCACATCTTCCCGCACATCATGCACTACCTTTTCTAGAGATCGCCCCAACGACGACTACCTATAATACAACTCATCATATTCATGATGTAACAGCGACAGTGAGAGCTTCCAGTGGAATAATTGCAGTAGACAAAGCTATAGGAGCTTCTTCCCCGCAATCTCCATCAAATACATTCACTTGTGCACACTTCATTTTCAGATCTAAAGCAGAAGATAATCAAAATAATATTTTGATATCACTGCCACACAAGACAAAAATTGATCCTCAGTCATCAAGTTCTCTTCAATCAACGGGAATTGAATCTGCTTTACCAACCAATTTTGCAGCTTGATCACAATCTCCAAAGATGTTCATTTCAGATTTACGTCATGATCACACAGATGAAAGCCTTCACCCCAAGATGAAATCGATACAAGATCTCTTACTCACAACTCTTGGGTTAATTTGTCCACAAATGGTTCATCCTCCAAAGACAGTACATCCTCTCTTACTCGGCCAATATTAACAGTGACATCATCTGTACAACCCCTTGCATGTTTCGGAGCGTTCTTACTTGAACCTCAAACTTATGATGGAGCCTTATCTTCTATGGATCCCATCTCATGGCAAACAAAAATGGATCAGGAATACCGTTCGCTTGTTGACAACCATACTTGGAATTTAGTGCCAAAACCAACACACAAAAAATTAATCCGATGCAAGTGGATTCATAAAATCAAATACAAACCAAATAGCGACATTGATAAGTACAAGGCTTGTTTAGTCGCAAAAAGATTTACACAAACCCCTAGCATTGATTTCACTAAAACTTACTTCCCTGCAATATGCTATAATTCCATCATAGCTATTTTATAATTGCCGCTATGAAGGGAATGCACCTTCACCAGTTTGATATTCGAACTGCGTTTCTAAATGGAGACTTAATCGAAGAACTTTATATGTGTCAACTCCAATGGTATGTTGATCCATATGTTGCTGCCGATTGAACAAATGACTCAACAGACTACGTCAATTTGTAAGACAATGGAATATTCATCTTTCTGTATTTTTGAAACAGTTTGCACTCATCAACAACGAGACAAATTCATGCGTATATAATAATCAAGGAGCTCTTCACATGATACTTGGTATATATATTGATGATGGTATCATAGCATCTCTTCTTCCGCATTATGTAGACGAAATTCTACAATATATCAAAACCAGCTTCAAGGATACTAGTGGCCCAGTGGACTACTTTGTGGGATTTCACCATTCAAGTACACCATTGTTCTTCCATCGACTCTATATTTCTGCATCAAAGACGTTATATACAAGATATTTTACTTTGTTTTGGTTTACAAGATGTATATGATATCTCTACCCCAGCCAATACTCATGCCAAGTTACATAAAATAAGTGATCCTACAGATCCTCCAGTCAATGTTCCTTATTGATAAGCCGTTGGTTCTTTGATGTATGCTACCATCATCATGTGTCCCTACATCGCTTACACTAAGGTATCATTGTATCAAGAAGATCCACGACAAAGTCATTGGACTGTTGTCAAAAGGATCATGTGCTACTTATAGAGAGCACAACATTACGGCCTATATTATTTACATGAAGCTAGACCTCCAAGATTAATAGGCTACACGAACGCAAATTTCGACGATGATATTGATGATTGGAAGAGCAAAACAGGCTACGTATACATTTTCGGCTCCACTGCCATTACTTGGGGCAGCCATAAACAAGGTTGCCTTATCACCTCGACAACAGTTGCCGAGCTCATAGCCCTCACAGAATCCACCAAAGAAACGAACTGGCTTTGTCAATTACTCCACTTGCTCAACATGACGCAAGAACCACCAATTGTGGTTTACTGAAACATCCATGTACATTCAACTTTCATCCAAGATTCTAAGTATTTCTTGAGGTCCAGTGAGTTGTTCGAACTAGTTCAAAGTGTAATCAATTAGAGAAAGACAAGTTCTGTGTCATTAGAGAATTGTTATTGAACTTGAAGACATTTGTGCTATAACTGAATATAGATTGGTTTAGTCATCATATGTTGTGTGTGTATGTTAAGTGATAAAAAGCAATAGGATTCCATGCATCTGCATAATCGGGTACCAATCACTTGTTTTGCTGCAGTTTTGCTACATCGCCACAAGCTAAATTCACAATAACAACATGCATCCGAACTGGATACTTACGCCCACAGGAATTGTAAGTACCTTATGTTTATTATACCAATATATACCTTATTGTAGAATGAGTATGATACATGCAGTAGTGCGCTTCGATTTTTTCACAAACCATGGTCGTTGTTTTCAACCACAGTGAGCTAGTGAAACCGACGGTTGTGGATTTTTATTACATTCTAGCAGACTGCCTGTGAGAACTCCGTGGAGTTCAAAAGAGCATGGCTTACAGTAGTTTGAGAGTTGTTGAACTGGGAGTCTGTACTTGTATTAACATTGCTGGTCGTGAATTGGTATTGAGGTGAGAGGATCACATTCGGCATCGGGATGTCAACACAAGGCTGCATCTGCGCCACGAAACAAATCACTTCATATTCTGGATGTTGAGCTTTCGCATAAAGACGGACAAGGTTGTAGTGTATACGACTTTCAATGTCGTAAAGTTTACATGAAACTAAAAGCAGTATGCTGATACGAAATTTTGAGTGTCATGTCTAGTTTTGACCTCAATTACAGTTGTGGTGTAAGAGACTTGTTTGCCGAAGTAAATTGTGTGTCAATGCTCACCTCATCACCCGTAGTCAGATCCATGGCTGAGTGATGACGACCCCAGTGGACTTGATTGTCGAACATGCACTCGTCGATCACATCCCAAAAATCTGAAGAATGACCTGCATTTCTCATATTTCCACTGCAACCAAGTCCCTGCTCCTCCAGCAGTACATGATCATATGTTGTATCAGTCTCATGCTGCGACTCGACGTTTGAGTTCGGAGACGAATATGAACCAAAATTCTGCCAATCGGAACCACCAGCACCTCGACGGTAACAAGCATCTTCGTATGCTTGGAGCAAGTTCTCTTGAGCCTCGTTGGATGCATCCAAGGAGGAGCAGCGGCCATCTGAGACACACGACGGAGGACTAAAATTATTTAATGATGAGAAGCAGCTACATGGGTAAGAGGCTGCGATAACCGCGCATGTCTGGTCGTTGTAAAGCTCCAACCCATGCAGTGCTGAGGATTGGGAAGCCAAACATGACACCTCCTCCTGCAACGGATCGCCAATACGCTGCAACAGATTTACGTCGAAGTAGCTCAGATCCGGCTGCACCTGGTAATCCGAGCTGGTAAAGACCTGGCCAGAAGTGAAACTTGAGGCGTACTCTTGGGCTCTCTTTTTGACAAAGAGGGTGACTTCTTTGAACATGGAGTCGTCCAACAGGTTTGTTAATTTTAAATTGGATGGTATCTTCTCCGAGTACGCATCCAGCTCAGCACTAGGAATATTGAACCCTCGTTTCTTCTTGCACTTGAGGAGCTTCCTGGCGGCATCTACTGCTCGAGCGGCACCCTCTTCACTGTCGAAGGTTCCCAGCCACACTTTTTTGTCGACGGACTTCCATTCCGCAACACGAATTTCGGCGACCCACTTCTGGAGGTCGGGCCTAAACCGGACCCCGAAGTACTTGGAGCTTTCTTTAGCGCGGGACTTCTTTGGTGACAAGCCAAAGTAACTCAAATCGCCAGGTTCTGCCATCGCTCTGAAAAACTTGAGACGGAGTATCAGCTTAATGTGCATTTCTAGAAACAACAGTAACTGCTATAACCAGCTATTGAATGCATTTTAACACTGGTAGCTAATGGCTGCATGCATGGTGCAGGTTGTGAGCACGCGTCACTCGGAAATAATGGACTATCGATTCGTACCTCCGGGCATCCAGGAGTGTCGGTGGAAAGTCGGAACTGTGTTGAATAGTCGAAGAAAACCGCATTTCCTTCTTGACGTTGCGATTCAGTTGGAACTCGCCCCTCATGTCTTGAATATCTGAGGTGCCTTCGTTCCGCGCGTAGTAATGCAGATCAACCGTCATAGTACGTTGAGTTTATGCAATCCCACTTCCACGTTCGCTCAATCGATACTGAGAATGTCGTCTACGTAGCGAAGCTCACTCCCGAGATTTCAATTACTTGCTTCTTCTAGCTAACTTTAAACGATAATCAAATACTTGGATGTTTCTAGTATCCACAGACCTATCAAATCAATAAATATCGGCTTTTAAATCAATCTCAAATAGGCTAACGCATCAACTAGATCTTAGAATCGACAAGTATTATCAGTGCAAATCAGTAACCCGATGCGTATGTGTGCATCGTTGCTATTCCAGTATCTATTTGTTTGTTTTTTTGTTTTTTTCGGTGAAAAAGTTTAGTGCATACTATTCGTTCAATCACAATACCTTACACTGGAGACAAGACTCTACACTGCAGACAATTCATCAGACTACAATCAATGCACAACCAAACTGACAGACTTCGTGTGTACGAAGAGGAACAAACTTAGTCAGAGAATTACTACAGAATCAAGAGCGGTACGATATGGAGGACAGAAGTATCATGTTCAGGACTGCTGGCTTCCTATTGCGTTGGATGTAAATTGACAAAGCTTGAGACGCAGAATCACTTGATAACGGTTTGCTGCTGGTGATGGAATCGTTATAAATAGCACACGACAGACAACTAGATTACGTGATGAGGTTGTTCCGTGTAGGCCCACCAGCGTCTTCTCTGCACCGCCCAACAGATCTGTTGCTGCCTCAAGGCAGATGAGTTTCAAGTCAATACGCTTCTGTTATCTGCATGAGGAGTTTCTCAGCTTCAGCCTTGTAGTACTCCGAGATGCTAAAAGTCCATACTCAGATAAGCATCAAGTCTCCAGCCTCCAAAAAGTGATGGAACATCAACTCATCTCGTTAACACATGGCGAAACCGACCACAAATCTAGGAATCGGATAAACGGTTGGGGAAAAACTACAGTGCATGGCTAAGCATCTCTAAGTCATGGCTCTGTCGACACCACAATTACCCGTATGACCTTTTCATGAAAAGATCCAGAGGATTTATTCTTGCAGTTAGATCGTGCAGCAACAGAAGAAGTTCGATAACAAACGACTTTGTGTAAGTGCAATTGCTTCGACATTCTCTTATCCTATGACACATGTCTAGAGCTTGGCTCTGGAAAACATAGTTATCTTCAAGAAACATGTGGATTTATTTTGTACCGACACGCTTCGACTCAATTGAAGAAGATGATGACAGTTGTGACAAAAGTTCCAAGACCTAGCGATTTTCCATTGTAAATTGTTGTGCCTATCATGCCTACTAAAGACATTAACTATATTTGGGATCAGGATAAAGTTTCGGCATCTGGACGTACAGACATCTGACAAGCATAAAAGCCTTGACGGCCGCTGACCGTTGCTTGGAACGATAGTGGAAAGAGACTCCGATCTGATACGACAGTCAATTGACTCAACGAGAAAGCTACCGACAATTCGCTTCTTCCTCCCAGAAACTGCCCAGAGTTTCCTAGTATTTTGTACAACATGGTTTCCTCATATTCGAAGCAATTCTCGTCACAGACAACCCTAATTTTGATCGAAAAAGTCTAAAACCAGAGCTAATCCATCATCACTTACAAAATTGTGCTCACCTGCATTGGACAATAACGTTTTTGTGTGTCGTGCGTCGAGCCTTCTTGTCTTCAAAGAAGTGCAGTTGTCTTAATTCTTCAATTGTCACTTAAAAGTTTCTTATGCTTGTAGACTGACATTAAAGTGAGATATTGTTGTTCATGATTTGAACTTTTTACTCACTAGCGTTCAATATGTTCATAAATCTGCATCACTGTTTTGTTTAATTAGAACGTTCACCAATAAACTTCTCTCCTTAAAGAGCATAGTTGGAAATAGCCTTGCCACCAAAGAATGTGGTATATGGTATGGAAACAATAAAGACAAATGAAATTTAAGATGGAAGAGATGTGGGATTTAGTTTTAGGAATTGAAAAAGAACCAACACTTGTTACAGAATTAAATGAAACAACATCCTCATGAATGAATCAAATTGAAATTTTCATCTAAAAAAAGAAAGATAATATTAATCTTATAGCAATTTGGAATTATATGAATAATTCAATCTTCTCTAATATTGGAGCATGTAAAATAGCTAATGAGGCATGGCTTGCTTTTAAAAATATATACTCTATAAGTAATATAGTCATTCAAATTCACCTATAAGATTAATTTATAATACAAAAAATAAAATAAAATAAATATGTGATACATTACCTACACAACTTTATCGCTTTACTTCAATAATATTATTCAAGAAGAGTCATCATACCACCAATAGAAATATTTATCTTCATGAGATCCATGCCATCATAATATGGCACCATAATTCAAATATTGCAAACAAGCAGAATTGTAATACTTTCTAATTTTATTGTAATTTTTCTTCAAGCAAAACAACCATAAAAGGCTTACACTTAAAATCACAAGCCTTCTTTGTAGAGTGCAAAAATAAATGCAAATGGCAACCAAAATCTATGCAAAAAAATACACAAGAGATTCCAATTATTCTAAAATCAAGCCAAAACCAACAACCACTTGTCTTCATTGCAAAAAGATGGAATATTGGAAATTGAAGTGTCTTAAAATTAAATCAAAAGCTGCTACCAATACTATAGCCACTTCACATACATCTAGAAAAAAAATTGTATATAGAAGGCAAAAAAATAGAAGAAATTCTACCTTCCTTCTATAAACATGTGTAATTCATACAAACTATTACTCTACAAAATTCACAAAATCAGGTAAAATTTATTTAAGATTTGATTAAGATTTGGTTTTGAGTCTATTCTAGACTGCAATGGAGTTAGACTCTAAGACACAAAACTAAGATTTTACATTATTTTTGAGATTCTTTTATCAATTAAAGAATAGGATTTGAGATAAAATTAGAAAAGAGAGTTTTGAAAGTTGATTTTATGTTATTTGGATTAAAATTGAGATTTTGAGGGATTTTCAAAGTTAGTAATGTTTTTGGTTGGTTTAGATTTTGAAAAAAAAAAAAATATGTATATATATATTTGAAGGTTTTTATAGCATGTATATAGGTGAAAATTTGAAAGTTTATTTTTGTGCTTGCTATAAATGACTGAAAAATTTGAGGTCAATCAAGCAATTAGATTAAAGAGTATAAGAGTTTTTGTGGATTATGATCTTAGATAATTAAGATTTAGGGTTAGTGAGAGTATAAACTAAAATAAATCTCTAGTAATTAGGAGCTTATTCTAATTCACAACAGTTTTAATTATCTAAATCTTCTAACAATTTTTCCTAAACATTTGATTTATGTCTAACAAATCCAATAATTTCTTATTTATAAATCAAATAATTTTTAAGTTTAGGTGATTTATTCTAATTCACAAATATTAATTAATATGTGAATAGATTATATAAAATTTTCTCTTATTTTTTCATAGAAAAACTTAAACTAGTTGGCTAATTAAATTCACACTCAAACAACCATAAAACAATACTTTCAGTATTTAAACAATTCAACTACACTACAATTGAAAGATGAAAATTTTATATATTTTTTATTTAATTTTTTTTAATTTTTTTTATTATTAATTATCATCCAAAATTAGAATTTTATCTAAGAACAATTTTTCATCTTTAAATGAGTTTACATCCAAGAATGATTTTTTATCCACAAATGAGAATTCATCTACTCTTAATCAATATGCATTCACAAATTTTAATCCATTAATTTTATCTAAATTGAATTCATGAATTTTTTTTATCTAATCATATATAAAAAAAAATCATTCAATTGTATTAATTTATTTAAAATATATCCTAAAAATTAGGAAAAACTAAGAGCTATCACCTCCCACATCTTGGCAACAACCCCCTTATACAAAAATTATCACCACTTCTTTGTTGAAGATTGTCTAAGAGCAAAATTTAGCTTTCTAAAAACCAAAATTAAAATTATTCCTTTTCCAATAAATTTTTCTTTCAAATTTACTTTTTTGACTCTAATATTGTCCCTCCAATTTGACTCTATAATTTGGCAAACTTTCTTTTACAAAATTGAGTTCCATGTCTTGATCCTTGATTGTCCTTAGATAATTAAAATATAGTAATTCAAAGAGTTTTATAATCCTAACTTTGAATGGCATCTTCTTCTAAAGTTTGAGCCTTTAGACTACCTCAAACTCCCTAATCTCATCTTCCAAAGTCATGCCTTCACTTGGCCACTTGAATTCAAAGGCAACAAACTTTCTTCTACAAGAATGAATACTATTATTACTTTTTGGAATCAATATGGTTGATCCTTAGTATTTTAAAAAACTAAACTTCTTTAATTATCTAATAGAATAATTCTTATTACTTTTGAGCTTGAGAGCAATGAGAAAGAGTCCTCCAAAATAGAGCTACTAAATTGTGAAGACAAAATACCACTCTTCACTAAATTTGAGGATTTTTTCTCAAACAAACTTCAAATTTTAAGTTTTTTATATCTTAAGAATTGCAAAAATAGGCACTATATTCAATTAAAAATTCAAGAATTCATTCTAGAAACTAAAAGAGAAAAGTTGAAACAACCAATTGCTTATAAGTCTTAGAAAAAATTTAGCATGGCTTTGGCTATCAACAAAAAGAAGAGAGAGAAATCTTGGGCAACTATGCCACTCTTATATGATTGAGTGAGATCTTGTAAGAGGGAGGCCACATCTCCACCTTCCATCTCTAAGATCCCTAATTTAGATCTATGGCCTTCATTCATTCAAATATCATAATCCGAGATCAAGGTTGATGGCCATTAATTGAGCCTTAGAAATGACTTTTTGATAAAACTAACTTTATCATTATATTTAAAACACATTTTCTAGTAAAGATTGACTACTTACATGCTTTAATCTATAAGAATTTGAAATAATTATGAAGGTTAAAAATATGGCAATTTAGATTGAATTTAATTTATTTCTAACTTATTTCTAATTTACTTATAATATTATCATTAATATAATTTAAATTAAATAATTATTATAATTAAAATTAAATAATAAAATTAATAAGAATTAATAATAAATCAACTATTGATTTATTATTTATGCTCACAATTCTCTTTTAAAAATACAAGCTTGAATCTTGCATTAATGCTAATTTTCTTTTATCAAGAGTCTTCTAAACTAACCTTCATTTAATAATTGCAATTTGGCACTTTTAATGTATTTTTTTGTTATAAAATAACTAGTGAGTTAATTTAATGATTTACAGAGAGATTTTATAATTTAATAATATCTACTAATTTTATTAAAGCAAAAAAAATTGAAATTAATAAAGTCTTAAATATCTATACTGAACCTAAATTTAGGAGTAATTGAACGATTTAGCAAGGAGTAATCATTGTTAAAAGATCAACGTTCAAATTGGAAATAAAAGACAGACAATAATTAAAAGGTTTTGAGAGCTTTTCTTATAATTGGTATTTATAACCTTTTATAAAAAATTTGTGCTTGTTGGTTACTTACTTGTTACAAAGTTTGAAAATTTTGAGTCAAAATCAATAGATTAAGTATTAGTTA